GAAGCGAATTTTGAACCACTGATGTGGAGGCAGAGTGGTTAAGGCGCAGGGCTTGTTATCTGTTGGTCCTGGGTCCAAACCCTCCATCTCACTGGATTTGCACTCGGTAACCCTGACTTCAATTCGTAAACTGTGCTTTTCATGTAGCCAACTGGTTTGCCTCTTGCCAGTTGGGATTTTCAGACACCACTTTTAATCGTTTATTGAAAAGCCCCACACAAATACATCGATATAGACATGTTTCGAGCGTCAGGGTTGAGTGAGTGGTACGTGTTATCATATAGAGGAGAACAGAATATGCGATATTGGAATATTTGCATGGAACAAATGATGCATGCGAATTGAATGATGGCATCATTTTTTATTGATCAAATTGAACTGAATTCTCCTTCAATTTTCTAGTCACATCTCCTGGGCAGACGAAACGTTTTAAATTCAGTATACCGTGTATTTCGTATGTAGGATAAGACGAAATCACTAGCAGAAGCGAAAAGTTTACGCACAGCGCGGCTGCCCATTGACAAGTACATGGAACAAAAAGACATGTCGCCTAAGAAGAAAAAGTCAAGAAAGCAGGCTTTTTCGATCGTGCTCACTGTGAACCAAGGTAATGGCTAAGAATAATAAACCCCAAGCTGATTTGACTGTTACAAATCTGATATTGTGACGGTTCATTTTTTATTTCACTCTCTTGAAACTGACGCATTTTGCGGTCTAATTATTTGATACTTGACATACACGTGGTGTTATAATGTCATCAAAGCTTACGTCAACAAGTCGCGGACAGCCATCTTGTGATAACTATATTTTACGGTTACGCATGCTCCCCTCGTATGCCTCGTAAGAGCTTTTCTCTTTTAACATCACTTAAATTGCCTTAATCTTTCTTCTTTGCCTATTATTTTAAAGATTTCTCTCTTCCTAACGTGCCGCGGTTTTTTTTTTAGCATAGGAGCAAGTAGGACCAAGCAAATGAAATTTATGCATAAATATTAGTTTGAGGCAAACTGGTTACTAATTTACAAGCATAGCTTAGAATACTAACTGGGTTGGGGAAGATGGGTTGCGATTTCAGTGTGTTAACCACTTAGCTGAATGGAGAACAGCCAAGCAAAAAATTTAAAGGGCTCAACAACAGCATCATCTACAATGTTGCATCCTCTAAGTGCACCCATCCCCACAACCGCTTCGTGCTGCAAAGTGTAAACTCGTTGTGTGTGAAGCCGACGATCTCCCGCTGGTTGATTTGAACGACTCTTCTAGAAATAACGTACGTGCTTCCGTTGAGATTTGTTTCCCGTTCAATATGAATTAGACTATAGCCGATCAGTCATATTTTTGTTCGTTCTTGATGGTGTGTTCTAGTAATCAGCTGTTCGTAGTGGGACACGCGACTGTGCTGGTTATTTTATGAGAAAATTACCCACCTGACTAAATTCCGCGTTCAGTTTCTAACGAAAAGCCCAAATCAGTAATTCAAGTGAAATTCTGCAAGAAATTCTCACTATAATAGGCAAGTTTCCCAATTAAAATTTCCTCTCAGACTGCAAGACTTCCTTAAGTCGTTCGATTCTTGGGCGAAAGCGAATGGATTAATTTCCTGACCAATTTTTTAATCCATCTAGTCATATTTAGGTAATGAGTTAACCTGAATGATAGCGTTCACCTAAAAAAAATTTCCATGCTGCGCGTCGTTTTTTACGACGTTGCAAGTCTTGTAACACTTTGCTCTTCTCAGCATGTGTGCGCTGGAAAACCCAAATTATTTTCAACTTTGAAAGGCGATGTTTTTTTCGGCTAGAATTTCTTTGTATTAAGATCACTTGGTCGCTTGAACTTTGCTCCAGAGAGGCTCAGAATTTGGTCCTTAGTTTGAAATATTCAGTGCCACGCTATCAACCCGCTACAGGCCTTGCATGTCAAAGCCAATTCAACTCCCAAGCTTTCAGTCGTGTAAGGGATGTTTAATAGGATTCGATAGAAAATGAAAAATTAATAAAGCTGTTTGAAAGGAGACAAGTTATTGGCAGGTTTGGTTG